GTCTGACAAAGTCAAATGTTGCTCTAAGAAAGTGTCCATCAGATGACAAGGAAAATTGTGGGTAATGCACAAAAATTCCATGGAAAAAATGGTGTAGGGTTATCGACGGCAACCCAATTCTCAGAATATTTTTTAATGAGTTTTAATGATTTAAGGTAAACAATTCATTTATGACAGTAAAGCACAACATTTTGACTTATGACTGGCAAAACTTTTTCATGGATTTTTCAAATAAAAATCAAAGTTTTCAGAGTTTGAAGCGAGGCACAAAGGAATTAATGGCGGCTAGTTAGGTCCCTTCTCCCCAATTATACTACATACCGATTTTGCTAAGACTGCCTAAACTCCCTGTGCTCCCTTTCATGACTTTTTATGAAGATGATTTAAGTGGAATGAAGATATAGCTAAAATTTGCTAAAATCTTAGTTTCAAATTGAAACCATGCATGTTACGTGTGGGTAGTTGGGCCAAGCAAAACGGGGAAACTCTACTCAGTGAGCAGAAAAGACAAAGATTTAACAACATGTACGTATTTCATTCAAAATTACATTAAAAAAAATTCTCTCTCTCTCTCTCTCTCTGCAAAAATAAGGGGGGGGGGGGGTCAAACCCCCCTTTTGGATCCGCCAATGGCATTTGCTATAGTATACTGGTGTCTCATTATATCGCGGTACTTAATTCTTTTGCATAAAGTATATATATATAAATTTTTACTATAACTACTTACATCAAATGATAATTATAATTCTAACTTTGGCCTAACTTTTTAGTGTCCAATTATTTTCCAAGCTTGCATCATTTAATTTGTGGTCTATTTTTAAAACAGGAAGCCTTATGAACCTCCTAAATTGGAGAGTCTCATTGTATCGCAGTATGGGAATACACATCATCATGGAAACTTGTAAATGACACAGACTTCAATTTTTATGTAATTCTACATGAAAAGTAAACAACTGCACAAACTAAAGACTTTTAAAAGATGAACTTTATTATAATTTTTATGAGGTTATAATTTTAATGGTCTAAATATAATTAAAACGGAACTGGAAGTCTGAAAAATTCGTTTTATTTGAATATTTCTTTTTCAAACGGATGTACCGTACTTTTTAATCATCAAAAAATTAAACATTCAGACAACATTCATATTGTCTATCAACAAAAAGAATATAGGCTAAGTAATGTATCCACATTTTTGCAATATACTGCGATACAATGAAACCTGCAATATAATGGGAATCGAATATACTTGTCAGGTCTGGTACAATCACTAGATTTAGCTACGTAGCTTGATTTACCTACACAGCTTTATTTACCTACCTGAGGTATCTTTATTTAGCTACCAAATTGATTTATTTCTTTTAAAAAGCATTTTTCTCAGGGTGTGCAGAAAATATCATTTTGATGCAGTGATCATTTTCAACTTTGAACTCATCTGAAAACAACTCATGAAAAAATCCCTCTTGGAAAAATGTCTTTTTCTGTGCAATTGCAATCAAAGTTCTGAAAGTTTTGGGGCTATGTATGACAGTTAAAACAGTTACTCCTTGAATGAAATGACAAAGAAGTCCAGTTCTGGTTAACACGATAATAGGTCGGTAATTGTTCAGCACAATGTTAAGTAATCATACTCAGTCATGCCTCACCGCGTCCAATAGAGAGGACAGTTAACCAAACAATGGAATTACATGTTTTGCTCTAAATTGTCCAAACTCAGCAATGTATAAACTATCTCTGCTTTGGATTGTTTTTTTAAGCCTCCCTAGTATAAATATCAATAGTCATTTAATTGCGACTTTTTGTCTCTTTTTGATAAAAAGAAAACTTTTGAAAACTTACCTTGAAATAGCTAAATAAAGCTACCTGAGGTAGGTAAATAAAGCTACGTAGGTAATTCAACCTACGTAGCTAAATCTAGTGATTGTACTGGACCTGCTTGTAAATGTTATTAATGTCAAAGTCAAAGCCTGTTTAATGCTGGCAGAATTGCGCTCGACTTTACTGTCCCGCCGTTAAACATATTAAAGTTATAAAATAAACAAAACTAAATACATACACAGACAACTGACAGCGGCAACCCTTGCATTGAACGACTGTAATTCAGGAGAAGTCTTCCCTATCACTGGAATATTTGCCGTTTGGAACTTAACTAATGGCCCTGTATTACTTTTGGTTACCGTGTGCGAAAGTCTTGAGACGGCTGAAGCTAAAGGAGCTCGAACAGTGTTTGGAAACATCGACATTGTCGCCAAACTGTTACAAAAACCGTCTTGGCAAGGTTAACGGATGTTAAAGGGCCCGTTTTTGGTAGCTATAAATCTAAATTTTATCTTCCGGATGGAAATGGAAAAATGTCCCAGTCTGAGTAATATGATCATTGATGACCACCGATCGGTTTCTATTTTCGTTGCAATTCGATGTAGCCATAATTTCGTTTGTTCATTTTTTTTTCAATTGAAAAACCGATATATTTATTTAAAATCTTAACTGTAAGCTCAATTTTCACGATTTTTTTTCTAACAAATGCAAAATGATTGTTTTAGATTTATTGTATGTTGTTTAACGTTCCTCTCGGGAATTTTTCACCCATATGCTGATATGGAGACGCCACCACTTGTCGGTGGAGAGCTACAAATTTTATCCTTTACTCGGCACTTAGGGCCATTGAGAAGTGAGGGATCTTTTTCATGCCAACACCTACCGCGACACGGGACCTCGGTTTAAATACGGTCACATCCGAAGGACCGGTCTCCACGTCCCACAGTGGGATTCGAACCCGCTCCTTACTTCGCGACTCTAGAGCAGAAGCTCTGTCCACTGTGCCACGCGGGCGACTTGTTGCTTTAGAAAGTGCCAAAGCAAATTCAGGGGCATTTGTGGGGTATAAGTTAGGACTTTGACAGTTTGAATAGAAATCAATCTGATTGACAGATTAAAATCAGATCCTATGATCCGCTCACATTAGCATGATGAGATCGCTACACAAGGGATTCTTGTGTGAGGGGATTATATCATTTTACTATGGAAATGTCGCCTACCTAATATAAGGTGACGACGTACGTAAACCCAGGTTTACATGGTGGGTAAACACAGGTGTAACAGACACAATTTATTGCTGGGGATCGAACCCGGGCCCTCTGGCTTGCCAGTCCAGTGCTCTACCAATTGAGCTAAAGGGTTAACCCACTAGCCCAAGCTAGCAGGATGCCATGTATCTTACTCTACCACAAGGTATCTAGACAAGGAATTTATTGGCATGAAAAAGATCCCTCACTTCTCAATGGCCCTAAGTGCCTTGTAAAGGATAACATTTGTAGCTCTCCACCGACGAGTGGTGGCGTCTCCATATCAGCATATGGGTAAAAATTCCCGAGAGGAACGTTAAACAACATACAATCAATCTAAAACAAGGATCTAGAACAGGTACAGCGTAGAGCGGCCATGTTCGTCTTTAATCAGTACACGGATACTTCCCCCGGGTGTGTAACATCATTACTGGAACAACTAGAGTGGGACTCACTCCAGCATAGGAGAACAACACATCGACTAGTCCTATGCTACAAAATAAGGAACCGCCTGGTGGACATCAATCTAGACAAGTACTATACACCCGGGGACAGAAGAACTAGAGGTAACCATAGATACAGACAGCCTTGTGCCACCAAGGAGGTTTACATGAATTCTTTCTTCCCACGGTCGGTGAGAGACTGGAACCGCCTACCAGAGACAGTTACAGCAGTCCGTACTATTGAGAAGTTCAGGACTGGACTAAACAGCGTCCCCTGGACCCAGCTGCAACCCTGGTAGACGAGACAGCCACGCTGTGTATAGTTTTATCCGTTTTTAAAGAGGAAGCCTCCTGTTTTTTAACCGAGCTGGAGTTATAAACACTCTGAATAGAGTCCAACTCCCTACCGGAAGAAGAAGAAGAAGGTAACATACAACATAAGAACAACAGGTGAATAGACTGACTAGTAAGACTCGACTGGTGTGAGAAGTGTGCCGGCACGGATGGATGGCTGTGAGGTCAAGGTGAAAGGTCATAGTGGACATATTAACATATTAAAGCAAGATCAATGCATTCCTCCCCGTTTTATTTAATAAGCTTGGGCCAAATGATGTATAATTTACTCAGAGGAATGAAAACCAGAAATATATAATTATTATTTAATATGATATGGAAAATGTATGGGTTAATACATGTATCCACATGACCTTGGCCGGAATTACATCTAGCGCCTTAGTTCTGCAGGATAAACATGTATGTATGTGGCAAGATTGACTATGACTTGATTTGAGAATCATAATGCATGAAATATGCTAAGTTTTCACAATGTTTTTTTTTTGCGTATCTAAAAATAATCAAACAATATTAAAACAAATACAATGATACTAAACAAGTTGGCGCTCAGAGAATTTTATATTTATTTAATTAATCATTTCCATGTAGAAATTTTTTAACAGTTAGTTGATAAGGAGTCCTACAGTGAAACAGACGATTAAATGTTGCAGGAATTCTATCAGTTAATTAATAAAATTAATATTTAATACCATTTTTTAATTATATATATATATTTTTAATTTATCATTTTTTAACGAATTTAATTAGTGAAGGCAAGCGACTTAATTAAGTGGCTAATAGCAGCATTACCCGTGTTAAAGCTACAATTTCAGAGTTTTCTGAATATCAATGCAGATCATGGTGAAATGGGACTATTCAAGTAAAACCAAGATAAAATTCTTTTATTTAGAGTCGGAAAATAGAAACAATGTGACAGATAAACAAGAAATTAGAAACTCATATCCCAGGTGACTATCATGGCCCATGAGCATTTTCCGGAATTATGCGATTAGTTTTATTCACAAAATTTTAGATTGCATTATGTTACGACATAAATATAAAGTGCTCAAATTCAATAAATCTAATTAATTTTCATATTTTATAAGTAAATTATTGCTTCTTTAAATGATAGCAATAAAGCAAATCATAACAGGTATTCATCATAAATAGGCCTATTGCGACATGTGCATTCTGGGATATAGAATTCAAAAATGGCTTCCGATAGCGAATCTGGAACTGAATATGAGGTAATATACTGCGTTTCTTCCTTCAAAACTTTATTTAATTTTCATATATTTAAGGTAATTGAAACTCACACAAAAGAATAAATATACCAGCATCTATTTTATTCTCATTCTTACGTTTGTTTTTGCATGAATCCGATCGCGTCAGTATTGCACGTTTGTTTTCGGATTGTTCTTGTCTTTCTATTTAATAGCTGAACATTTTATATGTTTCACGGTGCCACCTTTGTGGCGAATGCAGTGAGATTTATTAACTGGTATAATAATAACGCAATAATGCTCACACTTGACAACTTATATATCTCCATTTCAAACAGCACGACCAAATCTAGACTCTGACGTCACATGACGTATGTTCGCGGCCCAAAATTGTTATGGTCCTAGAGTCGTTCCCCTTTTATTTTCATCGAGTATTTCGCAAGATTTTTTACTTGCTGCACCAAACATTTTAAGAAATTGATAAGTTTTATTATGATTGCTTTTATCAGATTTTACGACTGGTGAGGATGATCAAACTATTCAAAGCGATAAAAAAATAATCTGAAACAAACTTTCACCTCCCTTAGCATAAATCCACTATAACCACATGCTTTAAAAAAGAAAGGTAAAATGCTTTCTCTTATGACCTATTTTAAGTGTATTGGTGCAACCATAGGCATTGTTTATATTACGTCAACAGAAATTACATCCTTGATTGAATAATAGACAACCGTAGTCAGAATAATATAACTGTGTGACTGTCTGGGGACAATTAAGTCTTTCCACAGTTACAATACGTCCCATATACTTGCAATATAGCAAATCAGAGCAATCCATTCCGAAATAATTTAGAAGAATACAAAAGGGGTTGAGCTGAAATAACCACCAAAATCAATCAAAACAAACCTTTTTGAGATTGTATATGCATTTTATACAAAAGAACAATCCACATGAAGACGAAAATTCAACTAACTATCTCAACTGTTTTTCTCACTTCAAATTTACCTGCCATGTTTACATTCAGAACTCTCTGAATTGTTCATAGTAAGTGCAATTAGTACAAGTTATTGTCCTTGTTTATTTTGCTACATTACGAGTACACGGAACAAATTAGCCCCTTCACAGTAGCTGCGGTACTACTCTTTTGCAGACCTTTGGTGAATTTTTTGTTGAGAGAAAATTAAATGAGGTATATTTAACAATTACTTTTACGTCATATTTCACCAAACTATTTCATTTTGCCCTGCAAGAGAGCAGTACCGCAGTTACCGTGAAACGGTCTATTCTATCGTTTTATCGGGTCCGTAGGACAATATCATTTTAACGATAGAACGTTCTATTTAATAAAACCCTAACTGCAATTTTGCATTGATTGTCTATAAATATATTAATCTTCTCTAACAGGTTGACAAAATCCTTCAGCAAAGAAAAAGGAAGGGTATCATTGAATATTTGATCAGATGGCAAGGCTATGGAGCAGAGCAAGACTCCTGGGAACCAGTCAAAAACTTAAAAGACTGTGCCGATAAAATCAAAGCTTTTAAAGAGTCTGAAAATGAGGTAGTTTTTTTTTTTTTCAATTTTTCATGCAATTAAAAGAATTGATTGTAATTTTATCATTATGTACAAATATTTTTTAATATTAAATTTTACACTGTTACCACTTACCAGTCTCCCAAAAAAAGAGGAAGAAGGAAGTCAACATCAAGATCTAGGTCAAGGTCTCGTGGAAGGTCAGCTTCAAAGAGCAGGAAGTCTGCCGGTCGCAAGAAAGCCACCCCCGTGAAACAGGAGACCCCACTCCGTCGGTCCAGCCGATCTCGCTCCAGGGGGCGCCAGCAAACTACAGTCGAGAGCACCACTGTAAGTTTTGTAAAGATCTAGTCTCATGCACTTGTCACAATATCCAAATTAAAAATTTAAAGAAAACATTATTCGATGAAGTTTGACAGTAACTTGTCTATTAGTATTACATGCTGTGGCTAAAAATAGCAATTGTGCCATATGTGGAAATTTTTGTTTAATAAGCAATGACTGTGTTTACAACTGAACAAATAAGAACAATGCTTTAAAAGTTTTTAGAATAATTATTTAAAAGACTGAAATGTGGATTGAACTTTTTATTGAAATCCACATGACTGGTCTAGTTCAAGTATATTTCACATGACCGGACCACACATATACTTGACTGGGTCAGTTGGACATGCCTTAGTGTCAAATCCTGCTCCTCTAACAGAGGTGTAGGGGGAATATCAGAATAGCCAGCTGATTACATTGTTTATAGGTGGGGAAATCCCCCAGGTCTCAGGGACAACTGAGTTATATAATATCAAAAAGTTTATTTTAAGAGAACTCAAAAGCAAACCCCAGTAGATATTAAATGAGATAAATACAGTACCGGTATAATACACCTAAATTATTTAACTACAGAGAAAAGTGGAGGAGTTTTCTGATGATGAAGGCAGGTCCAAAACAGTGATTACAGAGACGGTCACAAAGTCTAATGCCACGTCAGCACCAAGGAAAACCAAGTGGAGTAACCCCCTGGAGAGCTGCTACAGGTACCTGACCAGCTCTGACTACCCCGTGATGATTATTTTTGTCTGTATTACACTCATCACCCTCAGTTTTCTTCTGGAGCCTTATGTCAAGTAAGAAACTTGGGAATTATTTATAGCATCATAAACTGTAACTCTCTGCTCACCCAAAAAGTTTTATTTTCTTTTGAATGGGAGATCCAATTTCATAGTACATAACTTAAAGCACACACAGAAAGTAATCTAATAAAGCAGTCAAAGACAAATATTTTGTGTATAGATTGACTTGTTTAAGTGGTAGTCTTGTATTTTGGTTGACTTCTACTTTGTAGTCTGGACAAGGCCTGTGCCTCCCTCAGCCAGACTGCGTCTTCTCTACAGAAGTATATCCAAGGTCTGTGGACCAACAGTACGGGAAAGTAGTGACTTAGATCTCCACAAACCCAGGGCAGCTTCACCAATCATTGATCAACGTACCATTACCCAGCGTTTTATCATATAGGAGATCAAGTACCATTACCTAGCATTTTATCTCAATGGAGCAAGATAATTTTGCAAGAAACTATTTTAAAATGCCAGCAATTTTACATTGGTCTGAAAGACATTAAAAAATGTTTTTATTTGAAATAAAAAAAACTTTAAAAAATAATAGAAGTAATGAATAGATCTAGTGCTGTAGACATTTTAAGTAAAAGACTATTTTATGAATTATATTTTTATGAAGTATTACAATTTATCATTGTTTTACATGCAGCTCACCTCTTAGTGTCATAATTACTGGTTGTCTCCCTTGATTAACCATGTCTCGTTCAGTATTGCTTTTGTTACTCTAAAAAATCCAATAACACAAGAGATTTTATGGATAAAATATCATACAAATACATGTACCTTGTGCTTAAAAATATTATAAAGGCTTTCAAAAAGATTTAAAACAGGTAGCTTTTAACAAAGATAGGAGACACCTGGCAGAGGCAATTAAAATAAGATGTGGTGGAATTTTTCTTCACTGATCTCAGTCTAAAAATAGAAATCGGTAATGGCAGATTTTCAAAGCCCTGTTTATAATACAAATGAGTATTTAACAATTTATCAAGTACATACTTTATTAGCTCTCCAGTGCAGCATACATATTTGAAGTATGTTTTGATTTGAGGTAGATAAAAGTCACTGCAAGTATAGTACATGTATTGTTGATGACTAGAAAACCACTGTAATGTCAAATACTATGCAAACAATAAAAGGTTGTTCATATTTAAGCCTATAAGAGAAATTTAAAATATGTTAAATAACATTTTTGATAACCATAAGGTTTTTACTCACATACTCTTTTTGCGAGCCCTTGGCCTACAGCAAAACTCAAGTTATGATTGGAGTTAGATCCAGTTTAACCATGGATATGAAATAAGTGACTATCTCTTTATGGATATATATCAAGAATGACCAACAGGCACACAACGATCAGTAAGGTCTGAGACATTGACATAAAAACAATCCTATATATGATAGGCCAAGAGTTTGATACAGGTTGGCCAATAATACAGAGAATTATTGAGAACATTGTGTTCATTATTAAGTGTATATTAAAGTAAAGTTGTACCTAGTCTGTAAGCCATTTGTATCTTTAATACTCTCCACTCTTACCTTGTATATCTATTTCCACTGTTAGAAATGTAACTTACAATGTCTAAATCAGAAGTTGGAGCTTTTCGCGTAAGTTACATGTCGAGAAAATTTCATTCTCACATATAATATAATTCCTTAAGATTATATGGAGCAATGACCACAATTCGTGAAAATTTTGTCTCGCTAATGAAGAGTCAATGACTATCTCGCGAAAATAATGTGTCGCGAAAATTAAGTGATCTACAGTATTTTAATGCTTGATACAGTGTATTGATATATAGTTTTTTTTTTTTTTTTTGGTAACAAGTTTGGAAGTTGTTACATTTGATTCCTTTGGTATATATTTGTATACAGAAACACCTTGTACCGTAGTTAAAATCATGTCATTAGAACATCAAGATTCATTTTATTTTTTCTTAAATGAAGCAATTCATAGTCAAAAAATGGCATTCCTGGATACTGTTACAAAGCAGATTGTTATATCGTCACAAAATGTAAAATATTTGTGTTCCAGCAATACAGAACATTTCAACAAAAGTAGATAACAAAAAAGGAGAAAAAAACTGCATTTTATGTTTTGCATTGACATTGATGCGAAAAAAGGGGGATGTAAATGTAAAAATCAGTTCCTTAATACATTTTGTCTCTTTATAACATTTTGTGATGTGACATAGCTGGTGGTGAGGCTTATTTGTATGGTGGACACGTTTGGTGTTAGCTTCGTGTACCCTCAGGATGTTTTTACATGTATTTTTATTCTCACAAATTTGTAAATAAAACATAAATGTAACCGTTGTGGATTTTTTTTAATCTTTAAGGACATGCACACCTTACCATATCTACTGATAAATTTTGAATATATTCTCAGTTTAAGATTGTAATGCTATTAGATGTTTGTAGACAAAAAATCAGCAAGCATTGCCACAGGTTTTGAAAAGATATCAGTTATTGAAAATTCTTATACATTATATAATTCAAAGACAAATGTACAGAATTTCCGTACATATATTTTATACGTTTTGTTTACCCAAACTTGTTTCAGAAGAAGTGTACAAAAACATATATAGATGCAAATAAAAAATATAGCACACACTTCCTTCAAGTATTGGAACTCCAACTCCAAGGAAAAAGACAAAAAAAGTTAAACTACATTGTGTATGTCCTTAAAGGAAACAAGGAATACATTTGTTGGCAATAGACAAGGGATGTTGTTGTCCATAAATAAAGAAGTCGGTTCACTTTATGTATAAAATGGCCCTGTAGAGATACCAATTAATTGATCAACACTTGATTTTCTCTAAAACATTTAAATAAAATATTGCTTTCAAAATGTAAAAAATTTGTAAAAGTTCAGGTCTTGGAGAACTGGCTTTATGAAATTGCAATGTTCTTGAATTTTCAAGAAGATAACAAAAAAGAAAAAAAAAACCTCTATCTAAAAAATAAAACATGTCTTTTATATTCTATGCAATGACATTGCATCTTTTAGAAAAAAGGGCTCTATATTAAATATAAAAAAATAGCTTTAAAATACATTTTTTCAGAATAACATTTTGTGATGTGACAGAAAATGACTGTCATTTTTGTGGTGCCAAAGATCTAAGTGATATTTAATGCATTGTTAACTTAAACTATGCAGTTTCAGTTTTTCAGAAATTCACAGGGCCAAATAAGGCAAAAGTGAATCTTGTTCTTTATCTGAAACATTTATACTCCTACTCCAAAGTAGAGGGGCCATATTGTTTTGCTCTGTTGTGTTTGTCTACAAATTTGTAAATAAAAATTGAAATTAAGCCACTCTTTGTGGATCTAAATGAGAAAGCCCAGCTATTTTTTTTTAAATCTTTGGTGAAGATGGATCATGCCTTTACCTATCATAAATCATGGTAATAATAAAGCCCTCTTGACGTAAATTTTGAATATATTCTCAATTAAAGATTGTAGTGCCAGTAAATGTTTGTTGATAAGTCAGCATGCATTGCCACAGGTTTTGAAAAGATAACAGTTATTGAAAATTGTAATATAATTCAAAGACAGGTGTACAAAATTTACGTACATATATTTTGTACATTTTGTTTACCCAAACTTGTTTCAGAAGAAGTGTACAAAAACATATACAGACATAAATAAAAAATATAGCACACATTTCCTTAAAGTATTGGAACTCTTTAACTCCAGGGAAAAAGACATTGCATATGTCCTAAAAGGAAACGATGAATATTTATTGGCAATAGACAAGGGTTGGTGTTGTCCATAAAAATATTTACGTGTATATGAAACATTTATACTCCCACACCAAAGTAGGGTTGTGTTTGTCCATAACAGTATCCTCAGCAACTACCTGGTTCTAAACTGAAATTATAGCACACTCTTCGTTTAGGCATCAACGTGAGAAAGTACAGCTAATTTAAGAAGTGTGTCATTTACTAGATACACATATTTAAAGCATGAAATCTTTGGTGAAGATGTGCATCTTTGTCTTTAAATGTGAAATAAATTATCGTCACGGTGTGTGAAAAATCTGGAATATTTCATAAGTTTATACTTCTCCAAGCAAGAACCAACCACTAACAGAAAAAAAGTTAAGTTGAATGTAAAATTTTCCAACAATAATTGAGTTTAAAATTGCTTTTTACATTCATTTTATAAAGTTTAAAACCATTTTCATACCCTGTTCACACGGAGAGTTTAATTCGAATTAAACGTAAAGTTACTGCGAATTAGCTTCGCTTAGCGTTCACACGGAGAATTTAATGCGAATTAGTTTAATTCGAATTAATTTACTCCGCATTAAATTACTTCGCATTAGCTTGTGAACGCTAAATCAAAGCTAATTTTTTTTCGCATGCGTAAGGCCAGAATTAAGTTACAGGACACGTGTTGGTGGTTATATATAGGTGTTTCTGCTATATTTGGTTCAAAAATTGAGGGAAAGTATGTTAATCACTAAAATCAATGAGTACCTGTAGCCACTACATGATACAGGTATCAAAAGGATGGCTCTGCATGCATGACGTGATTTACAAATGACGTCATAATAGACTTACTGACGCCTGAATGTAGAAGAACAAGATGTGTTTGTGAAACACTATGCGCCCGGTGGCAACAAAGTTCGGAAAAAGCTATTTTAGCATTAAGGTCACAGTCAAGGTCACAAGGTCATTGACCTTGGTGTCATTTGAAAGAGCTTAATTAGTGAAGTATGCATACCAAATATGAAGTCTCTATCTTTCATGGTTCAAAAGTTATGGTGAAGGTTAAGGTTCGGGACAAACAAACAAACAAACAGACAGACAGACGGACAGACAGACAGACAGACAGGACAAAAACAATATACGCCCTGGATCTATCGATCCGGGCGCATAAAAATTTTAATTCACATTATTTTACTTCGCATTAGCTGTCGTGTGAACGCAATTTAATTCGCATTAATTTGATTCGCATTAGTTTACTTCGCATTAATTTACTGCGAATTAAACTCGTCGTTTGAACAGGGCATTAGTTTAAGGCAAATAAGATAGTTATAAGCAGAATAATTTTTTAATCGTAGCTGTAAGTTCCTTTGATAAACGGACCCCCAGCTGAAGGCTTTGCCATTTACTGACCGTAAACTACAATGCTTCCTACAGGACTTGTAGTTATTTGTCATAATATAATAAAAGAATTTTACACAGTTAACCTATTTCGATCTGCGGCGTATACTACTGGCTCATTGATGAACAATTTTGTATATCAAGAGATAGTTCTTCCCCCCCCCCCCCCCCCCCCCCCCCCGTTTCAATGGACATTAGAAGAGCGTGAAGCCTTTGATTTCCATCTGGTGAGAGTCAGACCCAAACTTCCCGCTGAGATTTTCTCATCCTGTGTACAAACCTAGCAGGGTTGCATGAGTCTTCACTAACTATATGTTAAATGCTTATCTACTTATCTTTATGTATTTTTAAAGGAAAGTAAATAAAGGTTTGTGATCAAGATGGCAGTGATCTTAAAAAATGTAATTTAATTATTTTTATAAATGATATGCATTTTGAGGCTTACGATATTTTGACAATTTTGAAGAAACGTGTTTTCTCTCTCTCTCGTTGATAAAGGGGAGAACATTGCATGAAGCTTTTGTTTTAATCATTTTTGCATGCCAAATGCATTTATACAATCTTCTCTCCGACCTTGTTAAGAAGGGATTAACAAGCAATATACCCCCAATATGCTTTATTATATGTCACAGCGAGAAGTCTCTGTATCGCTATAAACATCAGTGGTCGGATCAGCTTCAATGTACATTAGCCTGGTCTCGATCAGTTAACGCATGTGCGAAATTTCGCGGGTTGTGTCATTAGTTGTCCAAGAGATGCTGCACAATTCGCATAACGAGATCAAATGACCAGTGTGATGGACTTGCCATTCGAAAATTGAAAAGTAAGATTTTCTTTTTCCGTAGAATTTCCACTGTAGAAAAATCCAAACTGAAAATATGTTGCACTTGAGCTTTATTATAATTCATTTTTTTTAGTACCCGATGTTATAAATCTGCTCACATTGTACTCAGATTTCACAATTTTACTCTGAATTTCTCTCTGATATATTTTATTATGTTTCATTAGACAATATTCTTTTTCATTTTTCTTAAATATTCAAGATCAGGAAAATTTACTTTGCTAAAGTACAAGGATGTATGTCAAGCAAACGTGTCTGCGGTTCGTAATGTTAATAAATTGGAGACGAAAAAAGTATCTAAAATTATTTACTTTAATAATGTTAAAGTCGTAAATGCTCTGGTAAAATATATAACTCGTGATATTATTTTTAATTTTAAGAAATATTAGCATTAATTGAATCTGTGCCCAAGTACAAAAGATAAAACGTAACTGCTTGTCTGACGAGACTAACTTCTATGCTAAGAATTATTTGAATTGAAACACATACAATCTAAGATCTCTCTCTCCCTTTCCCTCTCTCTCTCTCTCTCTCTCTCTCTCTCTCTGGATATCAACGACGTAGGATTCCTTATATGGCAAAGAGCATATTTATGCCCCCCTTCGAAGAAGGGAGGGCATATTGCTTTGCTGCTGTCTGTCGGTCGGTCTGTCGGTCTGTCGGTCCGTCGGTCTGTCGGTCCATTCAGTTTCCGTTCATTTTCTTCATAACCGTTGCACATACTGAAATGAAATTTGGTATACAGATATATCACATGAATATCTAGGCCAAGTTCTGTTATGGGTACGATCGCACCATTTTTGACAGAGTTATGCCCCTTGGACTTGGAAAAATTTCAATTATTTGCAGTTTCCGCTCATTTTCTTTGCAACCGTTGCACATACTGAATTCAAATTTGGTATACAGATATATCACATGAATATCTAGGCCAAGTTCTGTTTTAGGTACGATTGCACCATTTTTGACAGAGTTATGCCCCTTGGACTTGGAAAAATTTCAATTATTTGCAGTTTCCGCTCATTTTCTTTGCAACCGTTGCACATACTGAAATCAAATTTGGTATACAGATATATCACATGAATATTTAGGTAAAGTTCTGTTTTGGGTATAATCGCACCATTTTTGACACAGTTATGCCCCTTGGAGTTTGAAAAAATTTCAATTATTTGCAGTTTCCGCTCATTTTCTTTGCAACCATTGCAAATACTGAAATCAAATTTGGTATACAGATATATCACATGAATATCTAGGTCAAGTTCTGTTTTGGGTATGATCGCACCATTTTTGACAGAGTGATGCCCCTTGGAGTTTGAAAAAATTTCAATTATTTGCAGTTTCCGCTCATTTTCTTTGCAACCATTGCAAATACTGAAATCAAATTTGGTATACAGATATATCACATGAATATCTAGGTCAAGTTCTGTTTTGGGTATGATCGCACCATTTTTGACAGAGTGATGCCCCTTGGAGTTTGAAAAAATTTCAATTATTTGCAGTTTCCGTTCATTTTCTTTGCAACCGTTGCACATACTGAGATGAAATTTAAAATACAGATTAATCAGATGAATATCTAGGTCAAGTTCTGCTTTGGGTACAATCGTGCCATTTTTGATAGAGTTGTGCCCCCTTGGACTTGCAAAAAAATTCCAATTGGGGGGAGGGGGGCATAAGTGTTTTACAAACATCTCTTGTTTTTTTTCGGAGGGAGGTGGGGGTAACAACTAAGTACACTGTATAACTGACAAACCAAAAAAGTATCCGAAAGATAAAAAAGACCCCCTTCCCCATCGTTGGATACCCAAGGCTAGTCTCGATGTTGATGAGTAAAAGAGGATATATCACCCGTGGGTATCCCACGACCCCCCCCCCCCTCCAAAAAAAAGGAAAAGCCTCCCGATCGTCGCAAACCACAGCCAAAATGTACGATCCTGGGAGAAAGTTGTATATGCGGACTCAATGAAAATTATGATGGCACTCTGATGCAGACGTGTCCCTTATAAAGCGAGACACAACTTGAAGTATTGAATAAACGATAAGATATGCAGGGGGTGTTAATGTTGTACATGTATTTGTGATTTTGCCAAAGAACTAGCGTGTGTGTAGGACATCGGCAGAGTTATCTTTCTTGGTCCAGAAAACTCTTAACGTAAAGTGAACAATCGAGTTTTCTACCTTTTACCTTTCACTCTGAAATATTACATTGTTGTATATTTTGAGAGTATATTTTTAAAGGTTCTTACACAGTTGACGCTTTGGTTAATTTTTTATTCAAATGTTGTAAGTGTAAGAGAATTAAAGTCTCCACATGCAAGAAAAGCATCCCCTGTCTTTGATTTTATCTGCAGAGGAAATGAGAACATTGTGCAAATCTTGATACATAGTTATATTTGATATAAATATATCTTTTCATTTATAGCTAGGAAATAATTAACCCTTTCACGATCAAATTGCGATTTTTTTTTTGATTTTTTTTATTTACTGAGTATATTTTTAAATTTTTTTGGCTGGGCAAAAATGCGGAATCCGGATAGGACTACGTAGTTCAGTCACTATCGCACCATCAAACATCGACTAAATAATGCCATTGCATCAATGCTAGATGTGTTGTATTGCATGTGGTATTTACATCTCCCTGCTGATTTGATACACGGGAGCATGCTCCGAATAAGAACAAATTTAAAATCGAGACAGGCCACTGACTGATAAGTTGATGTTACACAGATTTTAAAGGTACTTGGACACAGATTTGAAGGTATTTTTTTCTGTATAATATTACGACTTATACATTTTGATAGCATTTCACACAAAAATTAATGAAAAATCTTATTTCGTTTAAAAGTTATTAAAACTTCAAATTTTTTGGCGGGTTTGATTGACACATCCTTGCACTTTCACAAATTTTAAGTTCACTCTTAATACTTAGGAAAAGTAACAATCTTGTTGTGTATAAATGAAAAATATTAATATTATTATCCAGAAACATCAGAGTAGACATGTTCGAAAGCAAAACAAACACACAATATATTGTCAGTCCGTGCAGTTGTGGTGAGTAGACTTTGACAATTGAACGCACCAGGTGAATCGTAAACAATCAACAATAACAGAGCTCTTGCTCTGTTTACAAAAACTGTGTACAAAACACGAGTGTGATCGATTTGCACACGGGACTAGTTCGAAATGACGGTACTTGTGAAGAAATTTTGCTTTGTATAAACATTTCTACACTGAATAAAATTGTTTTTCTGGATTAAAGTTTAATATTTCTCATTAATACACAAAAAGATTGCCATTTTTCCGAAGGGTTAAGAATAGAGTTAAAATTTGTGAAAGTGCAAGGATGTGTCCATCAAACCCGCCAAAAACTTTGAAGTTTTAATAACTTTTAAATGAAAAAAGATTTTTAATTAATTTTTGTGTGGAATGCTTTTAAAATATATAATTCGTGATATTATACAAAAATATTAACTTCAAATCTGTGTCCAAGTACCTTTAACACCCTCACTCCTGTTTACAGTCATCACTTCATGGATTCTATGGTTATTATAACGATCTTGTTAGCATCATCTTTTTCACTTGTGTTTGAAAAGTAAACAGATAACATAGATTAACAAGGGGGAAAAAAAAAAGTTCGCCCATGTAGGGACTCGAACCCTAGACCCTCAGATTAAAAGTCTGATGCTCTACCGACTGAGCTACACGGGCTTATGAGTCAGGTAGGGTAACAATTTAAATAGTACTTTATTTATTTTTATCCGATTCTCGGAACACCTCCAGACACCTTCGGAAACATTTTACTTTGTTTCCAGATCGAATATCCTCAGATAAAAAGATGCATCCACAAATTACATCGATATTGTTGAGCGAGTTTCACCCTACAACAGGTCCTATGGTGAAATATCAAGTACGTAAGATTTTGATTAATCATTTGGATTGAAATCCATACTTAACATGCTTAACAGCATAGTCTGAGGTAAAAAAAAAAAGTCCATGAAAACTTCGTTTCTACATCTAACGTTACATATTACAGCGTTCCATCGAACTTGATGATTATACGCTGGCCTTGTGCAAACGGACCTCTAAATTTTAATTATAAAACGTATATGAAAAAAACACACGTTTATACAGTTTGGATCATATGCATGCAACATCATCACTACCTTAGTTATTCATAGGATCAAACTCTGTTTTGACTAGCTCTGTCATTGATTAGATGGAATTCATATTCCCCCTGAAGCTTTGATTATCATTCAGAGGCATTTTGTCTGGAAGGGAGGAGGTCAACCCAATCAGCCCATCACTCAGTAACATTAACAGTCACTCCACAGAAGCAAGCCCCCACATTTGAATCTTTAATATTTTTAAAGTAAACTGCAATGGATGAATGGTAATCACTTTAGCTCACCTGAATTGAAGGCTTAAGTGAACTTATGTGATCGAAATTGGATGTTATTTGTTGTCACTCATGACTAAACTTTTCACAAAACTGCATGGTCCACTGAACCTATTTCAACCAAACCAGCTGCACAAATGTAGTTCACTAGTTGTGAAAATTCAGACAGATAAATCAGAGAGTGACGTATTATGCATTGTCAAAACCTTCCATGACAAAAGTATAGGAAGTCCAACAGCAACATCCTCCCCTGTACAAAATTCAAACACACGATCAAACTACACTAAGTTTAAAAGATCAGATGTACCTTTAAGAGTGATAGTTATCAATTGTCAATCTGTCAGAAATAAAAAGGCAGACTTAGAAAATCTTGTTGAATCAACTAAACCAGATATTATCATAGGTAATGAGTCATGGCTGCACAAAGATATTCAATCATCAGAGGTTTTCCCGAGTGGTTTCACATGCTACAGAAATGATCGCAAAAGTGACTCGCATGGTGGGGTATTTATACTTGTGTCAGATAAATACATTAGTTCGGAACCTACTGATCTGAAGTCAGATGTCACTAGTGAACAACTCTGGGTCAAGTTGCAAGTGATAGGGTCACCAGACCTGTATATAGGTAATTTTTATAAACCACCAAAACAAACACAAGACGAGTATCTCACTCACCTTGAAAAGTCCATTCAAAGAATAAGACAAAGTGAAAACTCACATCTGTGGTTAGGGGGGGACTTCAACCTGGGAGGTATTGATTGGATCACTTATTCTACCATACCAAATTCACAGAATACAAAACAGTGTAAGCAAATGTTAGATATATGCCAGGATAATTATCTTGAACAAGTTGTTACTAAACCAACACATATAACAGCTACATCACAATCAACAATTGATCTTTTCTTCACTTCCAACAGTTCCCTTGTGAACAAAGTAGAAGTTATACCTGGTATATCCGACCATGAAATAGTTTACATAGAAGCTAGTTTAAAACCAAGAAAAGTTAAAAAACCACCTAGGAAAATCTATCTCTACAATAAAGCAAAAAGAGAAAATCAAAGAGAATATACAAAACATGAACATAGACAGTCAAAATCCATTACAAGATCAGAATATAGACAATTTGTGGGGTGAATTTAGAACCAAAGTATTAGATATCATGAATGAAAACATCCCATCTAAAATGATAAACAATTCAAAAAAAAGGTTGCCTTGGATAAATAGGAAAATTAAATCACTATAAATTAAAAAAAGAAACAAACTCTTCAAAAATATGAAACAACATACAAACAGTACAAGCACCAAGAAATACAAAGACATAAAACATGAATTACAAAGGGAAACAAGGAAAGCATATTGGACTTATTTAGAGAATATTATTTGTTATGATGAAAATATAGAGACTTCACCAAAACAGAAAAAGTTTTGGAATTATATTAGCAATACCAAAAAAGACAGTTCAGGAGTAGCCCCTTTAAGATCTGAAGGGATACTCATTGACGATACCAAACAGAAAGTGGAAATTCTTAATAAACAATATCATTCTGTCTTCACACCTGAAAATGACCAAGAACATATACCACAATTAAATGATAATTATCCATCCATGCAAGATATACACATAACTGTAAATGGCACACAAAAATTATTAGACAAATTAGATCCTAGCAAAGCCACAGGGCCAGATGAAATACCAGCTCGCATCCTTAAACAATATTCATCTGAATTCGCTCCACACCTTGCACATATTTTTAACATCTCATTGGCACAAGGGGAGGTACCTGCAGACTGGCGTCAAGCAAATGTCATTCCTAGATTCAAAAAGGGGGGAAAATATTTGGCTAGTAATTATAGACCTGTCTCATTAACATGCATTTGTTGTAAAATTCTAGAACATATAGTTGTCAGCAACGTCTTGAACCATTTAGATCAATATGATATTTTAGTAGATTGCCAACATGGATTTAGAACTAAGAGAAGTTGCGAAACTCAGCTACTTACTCTCAGCCATGAATTATTGGAGAATTTACACTCAAACACTCAAACTGATATGATTATACTGGACTTCTCAAAGGCATTCGATAAGGTGCCTCACCAAAAGTTGCTGAGAAAGTTGGATAACTATGGAATACGTGGTAACACCTGGAGGTGGGTCTCTGCTTTTCTCAGCAACAGAGTACAACAGGTTGTCCTTGATGGTGAGGTATCTAGTCCAATGCCTGTGGTCAGCGGGGTTCCTCAAGGGTCAGTCCTTGGGCCCCTTCTATTTTTAATCTTTATAAATGACCTACCATCTTCTGTTACATCAAATACAAGGCTCTTTGCCGATGACTGTATCTTGTATCGACCCATTCATAATCAAAATGACTGTGTAATTCTTCAAAAAGATCTTGACTCGTTAGCTAATTGGGAACATATCTGGGGAATGCAATTTCATCCTCAAAAATGTAATTCACTCAGTATTACCAGATCTCGCACACCAGTAAAATATACCTATAATTTGAAAGGACACACATTAGAATCTATAACGACAGCAAAATATTTAGGGGTAACATTATCCTACAACATGTCCTGGGAACCACATATTAATAATATAACTTCTAAGGCAAATAAGATACTGGGTTTTCTAAAAAGAAATTTGCAGATAAAAAATGAAGAAACAAAGTCTTTGGCATATAAAGCAGTGGTCAGGTCTAACCTCGAATACTGTTCTTCAGTTTGGGCACCTCATACAAAAAAACTTAAAGATAAACTAGAAAATGTTCAAAGACGAGCTGCAAGATATGACACACATAGATACCACAATACTAGTAGTGTCTCAGATATGTTACACCATCTAAATTGGCCAACATTAGACAATAGAAGAAATATATGTAGACTTATAATGTTAACGACAACGACCATTACACGTAATACTAGTCCTCTTCACTTTCAGACCTTCAGTACATGAACAGATTATTATAAATTTAGCTTCTTTCCCCATACAGTAACCTTGTGGAATTCTCTCCCACATGCTGTGGTGGCAACGGCCTCTCTGGACCAGTTCAGAACTCTGGTCCCAAGCTATGTCCCATAACTCTTATATTTATATAAACAAGTAGTATACAATGTAAATACACATTTTTCATGCACAATTTTGTAAATTGTTTTTCATTGCACTAGGTTTATTTATACCTTCTGTGGCACTTAGTTTTTTTTCTTTTTTTCACATACGTTTTATAATTAATATTTAGAGGTCCGTTTGCGCAGGGCCAGCGTATAATCATCAGGTTTGATGGAACGCTGTAATATGTAGATGTAGATGTTCCATTTCCTAAGGCTCTCAAAGACACAATCACAGGCTCTGCAATGGTAGGTCTTTAACCTGTTACATCCTGGTCACAGCACCAAAAGAATCAGAGAGAAGATAAATGTCATGCACTAAAATTTGATTTAAACCCAGATCCCCTGAAGTTATAATAAAAAGAGAATACACTGTAAAGGGATATATCAATGAAAACTTCTTCTCAAAAACATAAAAGCTAGTTTTTTTTTATTCAGAAGCATCTTCAGGAAGAGTATTTTCAATTGACTTCCAATCATGTACCTAGAGGTAGGGCAAGCTTAAGGCTTCAATAGAAGATTAAATGTCAGAAACACTTTTATATTTTTAATGCTGAACCGATTGCAGCTTTTTCTAAGCCAAAGTGCTCAGGTGAACAATGTGGCAACTGGGCCTCTTGTTTGTAGGTTAATTACTACAATCAAGCAAGCTTAGTTTCCCTTAATAAAAAGTCAGTAGAATTAGTTTTATGGAATTATAGTATCTCAATCACAGATCTGTTACAATTACATTTTTCAGGTTCCAAAAGAAATCATATCTAAAGCTCATTTTGATGTGATACATAATTACATCATTCCTAAGCCTGAATTTCAAGGCCGACTCATCACAGTGTAAGTAAGAACTGAGGTCAAATATTTCATTTTGCAATAACTTTTTGAAACTTGATACCTTATAATGGTAATAGTAAGCATAATAAAACAGCCTTGTCTCCTTATTCACTTTAATTAATGTGAAAGCCAGTCATGCACTTAAATGATTTCTTTGCATTAAGAAGTACTTTAGGAATACTTTTGCTCAACATTTTCTAAAAATTCAGTAGCATTGATTCCTTTTTGGAGCAATATACAGTAAAATCAGAGCTCAACTGGTCCAGAAGAATTTTACCAATGGTACTAAAAAATACATATTTCTGTAGAATATTAATTCCGAAGTTTTATTGCCATTATTTCAGAAATGCTTTGGGATATAAAATTGTTGGCTGCCCCGTTTCCATTGATGACACAAAGTACCAGAGGAATGCTCTGATGTTCAACCTCTGTTTTGTGTTCGATCAAAATGTGGACACCAGCAACCACGAACCAGTGGTCAAGAAACTGGCTCTGTATCTCACACAAATTGAGGTTTGTAGCTAGTGGTTAAGAAACTGGCCCTTAAAAAAAGCGGGCATCATATTTTAGTGGCTCTGGTGCAGCAAGCAATGCGCTAAATCATGATAACGCTAAGAAATCATTTATAATTAAAATATATGGTGTGTTAGTATGTAGCACTAATTCATGACTACACCAACAACTCAATACCCAGTGATTCCACTAAAATCTGAATATGCCAATTTACGTACACGTACAGTAGCTCGTGGAAAAAGAAAAACATCAGGTTCATAATTAAACATGGATTTTGATAAGTTGGTCAGGTATGGTTTAGTAATAATCAGTAATCACTTTGGATTAATTTTTGCAAGTAAAAGTACTGCCTCATCAGAGGCTCAATTTTTTATTGGTTCCTTACTTTTTCAGTTGGAGAGTGGGTTTTTGTCGAAAGAGAAAAGCCAGGAACAAATTCCAGTCTTCATGGAGAAGGTGTTACATCTCCTGAATAAATATGGTTTCTGTCGAATTCCAGTGGGTAAGTCATTATACAGTCAACAGTATAAGCTTCTAGGTAATCTTCATCACCAGCAGAGGACTGTGTAAATTACATTGAAGGAGAGGAAGCTTTTGTTGAGAAGGGTTAAATTTGTTTTTAGCTCGATTAGTTTAAGGTTGTAATTATGAAATGAAAAATGCTGGAAAGGCAAATGAAGGAAAAGGTCACTTGAATTAGTCCAATGCCACAAAGGATTGGTGGTATAAAAAATAACAAAGACAATCAAACAAAGGTGTACTGGAAAAGTAGCTTATTTTGCAGACCATCTTACATGTCTTGGAATCATTTAAATAATATTATCCATATCCTTAGGAGATTATCCTTGTTCTGTGAGTGTGTACTGTTGTCTCTGTTTTCAGGAGAGTCCATCACTGTCCACCTGAAGGTGACTGTAAACATCGCTGAACCTCCTCCTGTACTGGACCATGATGTCCCCATCCTGATCAAAGACAAGGGCAGACCACAACAGGCATGGGACCTCACCACACAGCAGGTATAAACTGAGCAGTTGGGTCTCACCACACAGCAGGTATAAACTGAGCAGTTGGGTCTTACCTCACGGCAGGGAACAAGAGTCTGTTAAAAATGTTACTTTGAAGTGATGAAACAGTAAAAACAATCTTAGCTTGAAGGTGGCTATGACCAGGAGGTGTGTATTGACACTGAAAAATATGGTTATTTGGACAAGGTCAAGATGCTGGGTTGGAAATGCAAAGTTCTTACCTTTACTCTAATTCTGTAGTGGTGAAACAATAGAAAAGTTATTTAACTTTTACTTTCATCCAATTATATGTTTTGGGTTTACAGGTTCTGCCATACATAGATGGATTTAATCCAACTTGTCGAATAGCAGTGGAGGCGGATGTGGAAATCAATCTGGTCAAGTCCTGTCTCCAGAATCTCCTGTGAGTAACGTAACAGTAGTCACTCTGGATGAGAGTCCTATGCGTCTGTGTTTGCTTTGAATGGTCAATTGATAATTGTGTTAGAAAGCTTGTATACATGATACAAGATATATTCTTTCTTCTTTTACATTTCAGATATTACAATATAATTAAGATAATACCAGTTTTCCAGGTGAGTCGACTTTGTAGAGTATTAAGTAGTATTGAAAACATTCATTCGTTTTTTCGGTACTTTTAGCCTGTCGTTTTAAAGAATTCTACATTAGAGTATCTAGATGTGTTGTTACAGATTTCAAAATATAAATTCGAGGAGGACATAAAATTATCTAATATTTCAGAAAAAGTGAAAAGTAAACCGCTTCAAAAATTAGTGATTTCACTATATATTAAAGAAAAATAGATTATTGACTTGATATTTTATTATTTGAACTTGAATATCTTGATATTAAACATTGCTGGTATTTAAGTTGATTTGTGGGTATACAGTTAAACAGGCTTATAATGAAGTATTAGAGACCAGCAATTTGGCTTTGTTATAAACATACATGTACCAGTAATTCATCATATCCGTTTTCTTAACGATATGTTTAAAACACACAGGGAATGAAAATCACTCTGCTATAAGTGTCAATTCATTAGAAGCATGTTGGCTGTAAGTGTTTGTTACTGTATTTCATCATTGAAACATGTACACCATGTTGGACCTAAGCATCATTGTGAACTCTGGGTATTTTCAGTATTCTAACATGTATACCGTGACGTCGGACATCAAAAAACTGTTTTCTGATCCACATCTTCAAGATCAGTGTATGCACTTTATTGCAATTAAAGGTAAGAGTATATTTAAATCTTTCCTTTAATAAAGTCAGAAAATACAATCTATTTAAATTACACATATATTCCTGAAACCGTCGTAACTAGTTGTAGACAGGTACTCCACTATAGTGACATTTATATTTGTTCTATAATACCTTGTCTTGTTTAGTCAAGTTCCCTGTAATTTAAGATTATTGTCCTATGATAACATTGTTTTGTTGATTCCCTATAATTTTTAAAATATTTTTGTCCCATCCTGCTTATCATATATATCCTATATATATTTACTTTATAACTGAGTCAGATGATGTATAACGCTGCTTTACCTTTATAACTGAGTCAGATAATGTATACCGCTTCTGTACTGACAGGTCACACATTACCCCTACTACGGGACATTCTGACCCTATACACCAGTATGACACACGGAGTTACCGTCCGGGATCTCTGTTGTCGCTATAATCCTCATGGACTCAAAATTGATGAAAAGTAAGTCTGCTTAACCAAATTGCTATATATCAAGTGATCTAGTATTTAAGGCTCCTACCAGTATCTTAAACTCACTTAATGAAGAATGAATGCAGAAAGCTTTGTCGAGAATCCAGAAACTGGCATCAAAAATAATTTGATATTGTGTAAATGTGTATATGTAATCTGATTTTTATATTCTTTTTCATATCTCCATACAAATTGCAGAGTGCCTTGTCTAACAAAGATGACAGATGGTTGAAAATTAAATATTACAATCTGAAACAAATTGTTGCTATGAATTATTCTCAATGATTCTTTGACCTCTAGCAGAAATGTGAGTATATGTATTTCTTACTAATGTTTTAAAATCATCTGTGAAGGAAGCTGATCCAGTTTGGAGTAGTAAAGAACCTGATCCGAGTGTTGAGGAAATTCCCCATCCTGGTCCCTACTAACGCCGAGCCTGACCCCCGACTGAGGTCTCTGTACCCCATGTTTGACGGACTTCACTGTTACGATGAAATATGCTGTAAAGTTGGTAAGCATCACTGTATTTTGTGATATGGTTGTCTCTTTGCTGTTATTGAGTTTGCAGTTGCTAATTGTTTGGATATTACATTGTGTTGATACCTGTTTGTTGCAGGCATCGGTCAGACAGACCTAGAAGAGAGGATAGAAAATGACCCCAATGTGACGGTCTGTGTAAAGTGAGGGTATGGCGGTAAGTCTCTTTATCTGTGACCCTGTAAAATCTCAAGAATACACATACTATTACAATCATTGTGTTAAAAAAAATGAACATACTATTTCTTCATTATTTGGATGAAGAAAATAACATATCATTAAATTGAATAAGTGCTCACAGAATAATCCAAAATTTTTCAACTTTTTACATTAAAATTCATGTACTTCTACTTATAAATTGAAAAAAAAAACTGTTAAAAGACCTTTTTTCTCTAATTGGTTTGGCATGTTTTAAAGTAATTGTTAGTAGCACAGTTATTAAGATGTGTTAACTGTTTGTCTTGTTTGTATAAATGAGGATAATTCAATCTGATTTCATGAAATTATGCACTTTTAAATTAAAGGGGAAACCCTTTTTATGTAAATAATCAGATTGACACTGAATTCTTTCTCTCAGATCTCCAAAAACAATACTAAGATACAGACCAATTATGAATTACAAAGCAGAGACAACTACATGTTACTCTATTCAACATCCACTTTTAGAAGAAGATAAAGTGGAATCCAACACAACAGGACACAGATTGTATAAGGGAGGCAGCTATTGATTGTGATAGATCGTGAGACATAAACCTGCTAGGTAATGGATAGAGTCACGCTCTGAATGCTTCTGGTGAGCAGGTACTCACTGGACCAATGCAGCTTTAACAGTAAACAGAAATACTGTATGTTAAACTTGTTATGAATAAATTGTTGTACATTTTTATGTGGTGTTTATTTCTGTAGAAAATGTTGTAACTCCACATGGATTGATTTGTTATAATTAATTTTATTTTAAATGTAATATTTAATATTTTACCTTTGTGAAAAAGAAGTGTGTGTCAAAATATAAAAATAAGTGCGTAGAATTGTCTATAATTTAAAGAGATTGTGACCCAGTGTAAGGTCATTGGTGTCACAAGTCTTCACTGAATATATCTATAATCCACTGGTCCTAAATGTTTTAACATTACTGTTGGCATTGGTCATTAAAAGGATCATGGGAGTGTACTTCAATCATTCGTTGGTAATGTAATAATGACAGTTGTATGAGGAAATGGTTTCAACCTACCCCTTCCCCTAACTTTAAACTCCCACCAACAATTAGGATTTTTGAGTTTACGTCCATTTTTTTTGGGGGGGGGGGGGGGGGGGGGGGGGTAAGTTGCAATTTTTTTATTCTAGCTGCTCCTCTTCCCAGGCCCCAACATGTACAGTCTTTCTGAATGTCTATGTATGGTCAAAATGATTATCCTTTGATTAGGTTTTTAGTTGAATCTTGGTTTATACTAGTAATCTACTATATGGTACCAGCACCATCAATTTTATATTAACTCTTTCACTATAAGGAGACACCCGCTATAGAAAACACATGTAGACCCCTTGGGAAATGGTAACAAACTATACTTTATTGTTACATTTTTCCAGGAGTATGTGTTGTCATAAGAGTCCAAGATAATATTTTCCTCAATTTACTCCAAATATTTAAAAAAAAAAAAACTTCTCGAGGGTCCAGACACCCCTCAGACAGCCTTCACTGCTAGATCAGTACATGTATGGGCATTTCTGTCAGGTGCACGAAATTCTGTAAAACTGTTTAGGTTAAAAAGTGACCAGGTGTATGATATTCCGGTAAAACAGGATATCTCGATATCCTAATTTACATATAGTAAATATTTCCTTTATTGTTTTTGGACCCTTGTGCATTCATGCCGAAATTTTCATAGAATTTGAAAAAAAAGTATCATAATTTAATGTTTTCAATCTGGCTAAAGGGTTAAGAGAGTATGAATTTTAATGTTTTGTAATATTTTATGGAAAAGTATTTAAAAAATTGATTTGAGACGATGTGGTGAAAGCGCTCTGTCGGACAGACGTTGAGTAGATCTAGACCTGTTAATGTCCCTATGGATATCCTAGAAGTGGCCCCACATGGGGCTGGCTCCCGAAGTGGTATAATTATTTTAAGGAAGCTCTAAACACTGCACACCAAAGAGCTCTATTTGTAGGGTAGTTTTATGCCATTAGAGTGATCTGCCCTTAGATGTAGGATAGAAAAATGGTTATTTACTATTAATTACACAATTTATGTTGAATTAAAATATCCATAACATTATATTAGACCAAGAATAAGTAATTGAATTTATAAAATTACCTAATTTAAGTAAACAACAGTGATTTCTGTTCACAAATAAACCATTGTCTTCGAACATTTTTACTCTGTTACTGAGGAAATAAGACAGGTACCCTATGTTGAAGATGAAGTACGGTAAATGGTCTCAATATGCAAACCTTGATATGATATATTTTTGTCCAAGTCCATAAAAACCCACTTTTTGTCAGTGTTTAGAGCTTCCTTAAAAAATCATATACGTTTACTATATTTTAGAGAATAATTATTACACGCCTGGAGCAAGCCCCTGTGCTTCCACGATGTATGAGAAGAGAAAGAACTGCGAACGATAGTATTGCATGTTCTCCCGCCTACCTCCAAGTCAATTTTCAAAAGTTAACATATTCGATGATTTTTTAATATTTTTTATAGATAATTATAAGGATTCCCATAAAACTTTACTTATTTGGGAAAACAAAGAGAGATAACTCTTAAATTTTGGTAAAACGTGTGTTTTTCACTATGGAAATCAACAGAAAACGGAAAATATTTTTAAAACATCTTTCCCCCCCGTGTCACAAAATTCCTTTTTACAGGTAATATGTGATGTTATTTCACGAATTCATACCAAAGCATTTTGTGTGACACGGTGGGGAACATATGTTTATTGACAAAAAACGATAAAAATGCTTATTTTCCACCAATTTCAAAGCGATATACAACTAAAACATTAAATTTTGTTGAAATATTTATGTTTTATTTATTTGCCTAAAACATAAGAAAAGATATAAGGAACATTTGATCATATCCAAGACTATTTCAAAATACGGTGATGCTTGAAACTCCGATTTCAATGGAAAATATCGTGTACCCCCCTTTTTTCAAGAGCTGGAATTATGGAAAATTTACTGTTTAGCGCTGGTATTAAGACGATTTATCAATTACCATTGAACTATTATTAAACAAAGATTTTATGGCCAAATTGCTATTTATATTGAATTAAAATGGTTCCAAAGTGTAGGCGGGAATCGCGAGTTAGCGTGCGTGTTTCTTATTACAAGAAGATTTAGCAAAAGTGAAGGTCAATGATAAGAGTGACTGGGAAGATAGAATAACCCAGATTTTCTCGGCCCGAAGACCGCCCCTTTTACCTTCAGGTGGCAATACTATATGTATGCAATTTAAAGTACCTTTTATTATATTCTTGTAAAAAAGGAGCACACGTAATTGAATTTCAGTCAAACTTACAGGAAATTATTTCAAAAGAAATGTCCGTTTTTTCTCGTTTTTTGAAATAATCGTTACATTTACCATTTAAATATTAAAGTTGTTAAAATAATTTTATAAAATATTTCACATAATTGACTTTAATTAATTTAAAAATGCAATGAAATCTGATAAAAGTGCCAAAACTTTAAAAACGAAAGTAGGCCTAAGAGTACTAACAGCTGCAAGTGTAGCTTCCCTTTGACCGTTTAACTGCCTGTGAAGACAAGTACATAGTACATAGTATACAAAAGCTACTAGTATTTTAAGAGTGATACTCCCAATCTTTGAAAATTATGGAAAGTATACTTAAAGTCATAGTAAATAGCTAGCCGTCTTTTTTAACACACCTTTTGTCTGATGATTTTAATCATTTTGAAAGTTTAAAATCTACGCTGTTAAACATAATCTGTTTAAAATAAATCGTTATTTTTCAGATTTTTGATAAAGTTGGTTTGAATCATCTATCTTTAACACCCTTAATATCTATATGAACAGAATCAGTATGGCGAGAAGAAGGAGACCAAAAACTGACAAGAAAAGCATTCTACACATAATATCGAGCAGGGAATAGATTCATAGCTCAGTGAGTCTACTCACAATGGTGAGGTCTCTCACCACTGGAATCTTCATCCCCTGATATTCTGATTTTTCTCTGAAAATCTATGATAACCCATGTACTTCCACTGTACATTTCTGTACTTACCTCTGTACAACACTCACTGTACGTACATAACAGTACAATACTGTACAAAAGCATAACATTTCACAGCACCTAAAAAATTAAAACCTGAAAAAAAAACTTAACAAGCAAAAAAGAAAAAAAAAGAGAATTCGAAAATTGTCCAAACCCGAAAATCTTATTCTGATTACAATTTGTCTGTCTAGCTGTCTGTCCGTCCGTCTGTAAACTTTTCACATTTTCGACTTTTTCGCCAAAACCAATGGGCCAATGACAGCCAAACTTGCCACAAAGCATCCTTGGGTAAAGGGGATTCAAGTTCGTTCAAATGAAGGGCCACGCCCTCATTAAAGTGGAGATAATTTGGAAGCATTCTCAGTGAAGATTCAAGTTTGTTCAAATCATGAACCCGGGGGTAGGGTGGAGCCACAATGGAGGTTCAAAGATTTACATCGGAATATATAGGAAAAATCTTCTTCTCAAGAACTACATAGCCATGATTGATCATATTTATATGGATGCATCCTCATGAGGATGCAGGTAGTGTAGATTCAAGTTTGTTCAAATCTTGACCCCGGGGGTAGGGTGGGGGCTACAACGGACGATCAAAGTTTAACATAGGAATAATATAGGAAAAATCTTTTAACATCTTCTGATGAAGAACAACAAAGCCATAATTGGTCATATTTGTAAGGAAGCATCCTCAGGTAGTGTATAATCAAGTTTGTTCAAATCATGACCCCAGGGGAAGGGTGGGGGGAAAATGAAAGTTCAAACTTATAGGGAAAAAAGTCACAGTAATCAAAGAAATATGTGAGCCAACTTAGTAGGTTTAAGTTAATTCAAATCCCCCATCTGCATTTTAGGAGTAGGTTGGGACCACATGCATTTAAGCTTTTAAAAACTGGATTGATTTTTGCTTTTTCCTAGCCAGAGTGCTCAGGTGAGCGATGTGGCCCATGGGCCTCTTGTTTTAAATGTCGTTGACTACACTGCAACCTGTGCCTGTGGTGGGACTAAACCTACGTCCAATGTTCAATGCCTCTATTATGTCTGTCTTTCATAATAGATCTTTCCGACGCCTATGTATAAGGTTGTGTGAAGGTGTGTGTGTGTGTTGTGTCTGTGTCTGTAGGGGTGTGAGTAAAAGTGTGTATTGAGAACGAGGACAAACAAAACTTCATCTTATGATAAAGAGAACTCATTTATCATCTCCCTGTCAGTTTAAAATGAGATTACTGCGCATTATGGTATATTTTACTGGCACAATATTTAACCTTAAAGATATCAAGGCTTTTAAAAGGATGTCATAGGAAAGTGTGTTTTAGTAGCTTATATAGAAAAGTTGTACAGAGAAGACAAATAGTTACACATACAACTAAGGTTTCAGAACCAACATCAAAAATTGACTGTTTGGTCTTTCTCTGAAATGGGGAACATATCATTTATATTTTGATCCTCTTTAATGAACGGATTTTACAAATTGATTTAACGATTAGCTAGGTTCCAGATTCACAAATAGAGAAAAGTTCGATCGGGTTCGCACAGAAAACATCACAAAACTTTACAACGGCTTTAAGGAATCGTGTTTCTTTGTGTTTTGATAATCCTATGAAGCAGAATTTATTAAAATCTTTTCAAAAAGAAGAAAAAACACTTGCTTT